GTATAGAATCACAGTTCTGTCAGACGTATATGCTGCAATTGCTTATAAAATTCCATACAAAGATAAAGTTATTTTGCCAATATTATATACAACTCAATAAACCAAAACATGTAACATTGCACGAGTAAGTGTTATATTCTGGTGTAGCTTTATGTCAATAACTTTGAATCATTTATGTATTAGATATACTTCAGTGATATATTACTAACATAAACATGTTTACATATGCATAACATATATGTACATAAGTATTATATATTTCTCTTTATTTTATTTATGTAATTTCATACGCTCTAAGAGCCTACATGACAATTATAACTTATCAAATTTAGAGGCATAGAAAGCACTTTAAAAGAGTTGTGAATCTCTTAGAGATTTGCCAAGACCAATTCGATTTGCGAACGCCTTTTTATTTTGAAAGTTTGGGCATTTTCTTACTTATAAGAAACATTTCTCTTATAGCGTATTTGCATACTTACTTTTTATACATTTAACCATGAAATATAGTATTGTTTTTTCCGCGCGCTCCGTAAATCATATTACACTTATGGTGCTCTGGGATAATTTTGTGATATGTCAATAACGTCTCATTAATATCTTTAAGGTGAAATATCATTGAAACATCATTTGATGTTATCTTGTTCTATTTATATTATAACAATATATTGCATTAATATTATTATGCTACTTCAATGTTATTTATCAATCATGTAATATATCAGTAATACATTTCAATTCTCTAGTTCTAGTTTGCTAAATAGTAATGAAAAGAAGATAAGAGCAAAAAAATTGATCAAATTAAAAACTAGTTTATTATAATTTCGCAATATTATTACTAATTTTTTCTAATGAAATACATAATAAAAGGAACGTTTCGACTTTAATTAATCTTCCTCAGATTTCTAAATAAAAATAATAATGAAAATAATTAAAATTCACATCATAATTGCATAATGAAACGTCAAAAAGAATCAATTACAAAACCGACTGAAATCATAAGTTGGATACATGTAAAATCAAATTAAACATATTGTTGATAAATTTTTAATTTGTTTTTTATACTTTTAATTGATCTTCCTTTTTTTTATTATTGCATATCAATAACATTTTTGTTATATTGTATTTAATTATATTGTATTTAATTATACTACGTAAATATTATGGGTAAATATTTATGCCTGCAATATTTATGTCATGTCACATGTTATGTAGATAGTTTTTTTCCAGGAATTAAAAGTAAACACATTATTTATAACGATATTATTTTTTTTAGTAACTGTAACGGAAATATAGTTACATTTTTTTTGTGTATAATGGACTTGTTCTTTTTGGCTGAACTTTTTGCACAGTTCATCTTTATTCTTTTTCTCCAATGCATTGCAACGTGGAAAAAAAGGAAGAAAGATGAATCGTGCAAGAACTTTAGCTAAAAAGAGCAGACATAATGAATTTTCCTCTACAGCACAAAGTTGCACAAAAGTTGCAGCATTACATGTTATAGCAATATTGCAGAGATTTTTCAACAATATTGCTTCAAATTCTGTACTATATTACAGTTATTTTTATCGTTACTTTTATATTTTGAATCTATTTTCGATAATTTTTTGTAGATAGTTAATCTTTGGCCGATATTCATAATTCATTCTTATTTCAAGACCATTTTAAGTAATGTTTTAAAATACTAATACGGCTCTATGATTGGTTTATGACGTCTTAAAAAAGTCATTAAACCACAAAGCTATATTATATAAGAACAAGCTTTATGAATACCGTCTTTAAGTTGTGAAGTGATGCCATATACTATATAAAATTTGTTGTGAAAAATATCATTTCAGCCGAATTATGTTTCAAGACCAGAAATTTAGTCGGTGGATGATCTGTAGAACTGGATATATATATATACGTATAAATACACTGTGAAACACTATTATACAAAGATTTAGCTAGAACTGATAAAACATTTCTTTTCTTATCCATACAGCACAGAAAGATTGCAAAATAATTGCAAACATATCTTATTGCAACGTTGTAATATTGCAAATAGCAATGTATTTGCAATATTGTTGTAATGTCATAGCATCATAAGAATATCCGCCTTCAGCAA